TATTGGCTAATTAACATCCATGCACTTTTGCACAAGTACTTTCACAGCGAACAGGGCGTCCCTGGTTCCCAGCGCATTTCTAAATTCAAATTGTGTGTCACTTATGTGCTGCTCAAGTTTGTTGTGTATTCTTTGGTGTATAATTTTTAAAAATATTTTGAGCGTATGACTCATTATGGTTTTTTTTGTAGTGTTATGAATGTTGACATCAGCTAATCTCTGGAAATGATTCCTGTACTGTCTATTGTATTGAATAAGTCAACCAATATTCCAATTTGCTATTCTTCTATTAACCGTATCATGTCTATAGGTATTTCATCAGGACCTGTTGCCTTTTTATCTTTGTTCACTTTATCGCCTCTAATACTTCATCTTCTATTATGTCTGGGCCGTCATTATTTTAACTCCATAGGTATTTTAAAAATAATATTTCTCATTCAACGCAGAGATAAAAATCAAACATTATAACTAGCGCAGGGTCCGTATCTACCCGCTAATAAAAACGCTGCAAAAATATTGGTAAATGGCCTGAAAACTGTGGCATTTAAATTGGATAAAAATGCTAGGTAGCTACATTATTATGTCCTCATATTAAATATAATGATGGTGGAACAGGAAGTTTTCGGTCCCATTTACTTTTATCTGCCACAAACCGGATATTTTTAAAATGGAAAGCGAATTCTGCTGTTCGTTAGTGTCGAAAATAACTAGTTGGTTTTATACTCCCTGCAGCTACCAACACGGAGTAAAAAGTTTTGAAAAATATGTATAACGAAAATATGTAGTTCAAATTAGTTTTTAAGTTTTTTTAAATAAAATTTTAAAAACTTAATAAAATAGTGTAAAAACCTTATATTGTATTTAACCATATGCTGGTCTTCTTGTGTGCCTTCTTTTGTCTCCTTAACGTTGGCAAACATTCTAGAGCATTTTTCTTAATTATGTGCAAGGTTAAAGGGTTAATCGACACTGCATAACTATTCAGTTATGAATATCTTCAGCTATGATGCTTACTAACTCTGATAAATATATAACTTTCAAAACAATTTTTAATTCAGGGAGATTTATCTACAAATTGAAGTGAGAGCTAACGGTAACAATGTTAAATGTCAGAAGTTAATTCCTACCGACATTTACCAGGGTCATTTTAATTGTGTATGGTTAGCCAATGTAGATAAGTGAAAAGTAAGATTCCATAACTGATCGTATTCACAAAGTATTTTATAAATGCAATTCTTTGTCCTTTCTTGTTCATTCTGAGGTTTGGTTTTAGATAAAATAGATCTCAACGTGTTTATTGTTTTGAATGTTGTTAAAATGTTGAATTCATTTCCTATCCTTTTAAGTTTTTCTAATAATCCTTTTATGTATGGTATTGTTATTTTCTTGGTTCCTATGGTTAAGATTCTGAGAAGATTCTTGAATGGCGACGAAGGTAAAATGGATATCGAAGCAGAGGACGACCACCGACTAGATGGACGGATGATATCAAGCGCATCACCACAAACTGGATGCAAGAATCTCAAGACTACGTTCAGCAGTGGACAAACATAGGCTAATTGATGATGATGATGATGATGATGATGATTTTTATTTTTCTCGTATTATTCCTTGTGTATGCTGTAGGATCTCGTTCTAAGTTGTTCTGTTCTATTCGATCGATTGTTGAAAATTACTTATTTATAAACGATAAAGGATCATCATTTTTTAATAAAACAGATGTTAACAAATGTGTTTCCTTCAAGAACGAATTTCCTTTAAAACAAGTAATTTTGGCTCTATCTTATAAGGATTTAATGATAATCTTATAAGGATTTAATATTAATATCTGTTGATGTGTGTTTGTTTTCTGTACACCTAAGACTCATGTCCAGTATCGTTCTTAGAGATTAAAACATCCAGGAAAAGTATTATATTCCTTTTCCATGGTAAACGTTATTATCTCTTTTTTATCGTTTATATCATTAAGGAATGTGTCCAACAACTTTGATCCATGAGGCCGTATTGACAATACATCATCTACATATCTCCATCAGACTGTGGGTTTTATATTTTGTTTAAAAATAATAATTTTTTTCAAAATATTTCATAAATATATTAGACCAGTGTCGAAGCCTTTTAAAAAGGTAAAAAGTAAAAAAAATATATAGTAGAATGAAACCTATTGGAAAAAGAAGAGAATATGCTAAAATTGGAAGAAAAAATAAATTTAACTCCATCCGAGGTCGGGAAGTGGGGTGGGAGGGGGGTTTAAGGGTCAAAATCGGTCTATCGCGATTTTAGGCGAAACTACAAGTGCTATGGAAAAAAGTGAAACAGCAAAGTTATATGTAACAAAAGATGTACAACTTTTTTATTTACACTTTTTTCACATAATCTCAAAATTTTTGTGGAAAATTCAAAAAACTAAGTTTTTGATTTTTTATTTTTATCTTTAAAAAAAAAATTATTACGAAATTTGCTGAAAACTTGTCTTAGTATTTATCAAATACACTGTAATTTTTTGGAATTGAAAAATTTATTTTTTTATCTGATATTGATTTATTATCGAAAAAGCACCCTAATTTTTAATCGAAAATTCACGCGTCAAAATATCAGCCTTTTAAAAAAAGTCGGTAGGCTTTTTGTTTGTTGAAATCTCTACTTTCCCATAGTGTAAAAAAATTATACATCACTGTGGGGAATGTTCACAAAAAACGCAAAAAAACGAAGAAAACTCGAATCGAACAATTTTTTTTTCATCATTATGTACAATTAACTATGATCATATTTGTGGAAGTTTGCAATGAAATGGAAAATTTTTGCAATGCTTCTTTTGCAACTCCAGAGCAGCACATTGATTCACAGGGATATTATAACTATTACATAAATTTTTCAACAGCAGGAAAAATTTTTATCAAACGAGAAAAACAAAGACAAAATAATCAAAACGCTAATGAAAGTATTACAGTCACAAGGATTTTTCTGTAAACAAGCAGAAAAAGATGCTGATGCTGATATAATTAAGACTTCGATAGAAATTGCCAGAGATACAAATAAAACTGTCATTGTTGTGGGTCAAGATGTTGATTTTTTGGTCCTTTGATTCAATTAAATGAAAATAATAATGACATTTATTTTCTTAAACCAGGTTATGGAACTGTAAAAGATCAATTTTTTACGTCGAATAGTGTCAAATATGAATCTTGCAAACATATCATTGCATTTCTGCATTGTTTTTCAGGTTGCGATACAACATCTGGATTTGCCGGAAAAGGAAAGAAAATTATCGTAAATTCATTATTGGACGTTAAAAATTTGTCAAGTTTGGCTAACATTTTTTTATGAAAAAGATGCAAATAAACAAGATGTCGCAAAAAATGGATTACAATTAATTAAATCTATTTATAAGAGCAAAAATGATAAGCTAACGCTGAATCAATTACGATTTCAAAAATATCAATTGGCAAAAATCAAATCATCTTTCGTATTGGCAAATCTCCCACCCACAGAAGGTGCAGCAGAACAACATTGTTACAGGGCATATTATCAGCTTCAAACATGGCTGGAAAACGAACAGACAGCAACAGATTGGCGGAAACAACATCAACGAGGCATTATGCCTAAATTTACACAAAAGCTGTGAAACTGGATTTAACAATTTAAAATTTGGTTGCCGAAAACATGGTTTGAAATACACAAATTTATGTTCAACTTGTCATGGCTCAGAAAAATGCTCTAATGTGGAGGAAAAAGTCTACGAAGAAATTAATGATAATGATTCTGATGAAACTGTGAATGAGGAAGTAACGCAGACACGAAACAATATTGGAGATGACGACGGTGATGGTTTTGAAGATTTCGAAGATCTTCTAGAATCAGAAGACGGCGAAGTAATGACATCAAAGAGGCAAAAATTAATGCCCTAAAAAATATTATGATAATATATACATATATATATATATATATATTATATATAATATATATATATTATAGGATTGTACATGAAAAAAATGTAATTAAACATTAATAAACCAGCTTTTTAATTGTAAAAAAAATCGTATTGCAGTTAGATTTTTTTGATAAAATTTCCTTTAAATCCTATCTTGAATATTTTTAACAGTAATTTTCACATGTATTTTTGCAATCTTAATTTTTTGTGATAATTCATGATAAGAAATATTTCAAAATTGTACATAATAATAAAAAAAAAATTTTCGATTTGAGTTTTCTTTGTTTCTTGCGTTTTTTAGAAGACATTTGCAACAGTAATGTATTTTTTTTACACTATCGGAAAGTAGAGATTTCAAAAAATAAAAAGCCCACCGACTTTTTTAAAAAACTGATATTTTGACGCGTGAATTTTCGATTGAAAATTAGGGTGCTTTTTCGATATTAAATCAGACAAAAAATAAATTTTTCAATTCTAAAAACATACAGTGTATTTGGTACATACTAAGGCAATTTTTCACCAAATTTCGTAAAAATTTTTTTTTAAGATAAAAATAAAAAATCAAAAACTTAGTTTTTTGAATTTTCCACAAAAATTTTGAGGTTATGTGAAAAAAGTGTAAATACAAAAGTTGTAGATCTTTTAGTTATCTACAACTTTGCCATTTAACTTTTTTTCATAGCACTTGTAGTTTCGCTGAAAATCGCACTAAACCGATTTTTACCCTTAAAAACTCACCCCCTTTCACTTCCCGACCTCGGATGGAGTGAAATTTATTTTTTCTTTCATTTTTAGCATATTTTCTTCTTTTTCTCGATCTTTTATTTTACTATAATTTTTTTTTTAGTTTCAAAAATTATCAGCACTGGTCTATCAATCTTTCAAAAATGTTCGTTTTTTTTTTAATTATGGCTTAGAATTGTATACATGAAATTATTTATTAAATCCTCAGTACTTGGACTATATACAAATTTAATTTAAATAAATTATAGAAAGTGTTTATTTACTGTTAACTTTAAAAATATTTTCTAAAACTGTATTTTAAGTAAACAAAATCAAAAAACTTTACCTTAAAGCATCCTGCCATTATAAAAACTGTGAGATCACCGGCTACTAAACACAAATAACACAAACACTCCAGCTAATTATATTCCGAAACCCATCGCTAAAATCGTCCAAATCCAAACGCAGAATCAAAGAAAACCTCCACGACCCCTGATATCAGTTCGGTCTACCAAAAACAAGTGAGTATTAACCTCAGCATATATGGTGAAATATACCGAATTGGACATCCATGGTAGGTGTATTGTATGAGGGTTACACAGCGTGTTTCCGCTGCCAAAGACTTGACAGGTCATTGAATACCACCTATGCTGACGCTACACACCGTTTGGAACGATAACCTTGAATCAGTTTTGAATTATTTGTTAAGAATGGAATGACCGAAAAAGATTTACTGTTCACGATGTAAATTAGCAATAGTGGAGATCTGTAATTATCTAATTATCCGTGTTAAACAGCAGCGACGAAAACAGGTAAAAAATTTGCTTAATATGTTGAAATGTGATTGACTGGTAGACGTGTGTGGAAGAAAAACAAGTGTATCGAAAACAAATTACATGAGCAATTAAAGGTATAATGAGGAAGCTGGTTTATTCATCCAATACAAGGGGGACATAAAAAAATTGTCCTCAATTAGGATTTAAATTTGCACAATTTAGCTGTCAAAATAGATAACTAATAGAATTTGAAAAAATTAACTGGTATAAATTTCATCAACTTTTAAAAATAATGAGCGATAAGAAGAAAAGTAATAGATATTGTTCAGTGTCTTCTTTTTCTTCTTTTGGTGACCATCCTCTATGGATGTTGGCAATCAGGTTGGTCCATACAGCTTTGTTGACAGCTGCTCTAAATAGGTAGTCATTCCTACACACTGTATGATGTTCTTCAACCACGATATCCTTCTGCGCCCTTGAGATCTTTTGCCTTCTATATTGCCTTGTAAGATTAGTTAAATTAATTGATACTTCTCATTGAGCATCACATGCCCTAAGTAAGTCATCTTTCTGATTTTAATTCCATTTCAATTCTGATAATAATTTCCAGATCTTTATTTATACGTTGGATCGCGGTATTGTTGTAACATGATGGGTGTATTGGATGTTGCCTTCGTTAAGGTCCACGTTTATATACGACATTTTATTTCCTGTGGGTGAACCTATTCCTTATTTAGGCTGCATCCAATATATGTAATTTTGCCGACTATTTTCAAGGGTTGATTATTAGCTGTGAATTGGTGCTGTATTACGTCGTTTTTACTTACTACAAGAATTTTGGTTTTCTTACAGTTTAATTTCATATCGTATCTGTCACAGGCTTCCACTGCACGGTCTATTAATGTTTGCAGACCATCCGCATTATCAGCAATCAAAACCGTATCGTCCGCATATCTTAGATTTCACCATTGATTTTTATACCTTCCCATAAATAGCTTCCCTGAACAGCATTTCCGAGTAAGTATTGAACAGCGTCGGCGACAAAATGCAGCCCTGACGTATTCCCCATCTTATCGTGAGTTCTTGTGAGGTTTCGTTGTCTACTCGTACAGTTGCCCTTTGCTGTAAGTATTAGTTTTTAATTAGGCGTAAATCTTTGTCATCAATACTAGATTCTTTCAGTATATGAAATAATTTTTGATGTTTCACCTTGTCAAATACTTTTTCAAAGTCTATAAAACATGCGTAGACTTCGCAATTTACGTCTCGAGCTCTTTGTAATAGTACTTGTATGGAAAATAGGGCCTCTCGCATTCCCAGTCCGCTTCTAAAACCAAACTTAACACTGCTAATGTTTTCTTCAAGTTTTCTATATATGCGAGAGTGAATAACAGAAAGAAGGATTTTGAGAATTTTGAGATATATCCCTCTGAAGGATATATCTTCCCTCCCAGTTTTTATTTAAAAGTACAAACGATTCTTATTCTGATTTTTTTCTTCTTCCTTGTCTTATTGTTATAAGCTTTGTCCATAAAATTTGTACAATTTTCAGTGACAATAAAGCATACTACTTATTTAATTACTTATTTATTTGTATTGCTATTAAGGCTAAAAAATATCCTAAAAATAACTTTTAGAGCATTATAATAAATATCCTCTAGAGATGGGACTGCCTTAAATCTTAATTCCTATGGTCAACAAAACAATGTATGATAAACATTACTGAATAAACACACAAAAGTATTAAAATACGTTAAAATTTTGCACAAGTGGATATTATTATGGTTGGGTTGAATATTTCTCTAAAAACATACATATTGGTTACATAGGAAAAACCCAGTAATACTATTATAGCATTCGAATTGATTTCCTGTCATGTTACATCAAACCTCGTACCAATAATCAAAGATGTTAAAATCAATCTGACATAATAATAATTATAGTTTTACGAAACTTTTTTTGCCGCATTCTTTTGACAGCTCCTCCCAACGATCAACGATCTGATTTTTCGGTGCTATTGAACTTCAAATTACGTCGCTGAAAACATTCAAATTGCGTTATCTTAATTGATCTACGTCTAATATGTAGTTCGTTAAGGTTAATGAACGAAACATACAACTCTGTCCATTCAAGAATATGATTTTTAGGCCATACTTTCCTATCTGCAGCTTTTTTTATTTTACAAAATAGTCGCACCAACCTCTGTGGTTATTAGCGACATTTATACATATACGTAAGATAATTTATCTACAAATGTTAGATTTCGTTAAATATATTCATATATTTAAGGAATTTTACCAAATGTTCAATTTTATAATGATGATGTGGTTGTTCTGATTGGAAAACGACACCATACATCAGACAGTAAATAAAGAATTAAACAAAAATTTAGGAAATATCGACCACAATAGAATTAGCGAGTACGATGACATAAACGTACTGTGGAAAACTATTAAAGAACAGAACAATGTAACGGAAAAACATCTAAAAGTAACACCTAGAAATAACAAACAGGAATGGATGACAGAAGAGATTTTACACTTAATGAACAAACGAAGAGAATCTAAAGGAAAAAATGACAAGGACGGAGAATACAAAAGACTAAATAGAATAATTCGAAAAAAAATAACCGAAGCAAAAGAGAAATGGCTGCAAACAAAATGCGTTGAAATAGAAGAACTGCAACAAAGGCACGATTTTTTTAATTTATATAAAAAGGTAAAAGAGTTTACATCGACTACCAAGAGAACGACTTTTCACGCCATTCTGAACACGAATGGCAAACTGAAAGAATGATAAAACTACATTAAAATTCTTTTTCACGACATACGAGAAGAACCAAGATTGGAAAATAACAACGAAGGGTCAGCAATTCTGAAATCTGAAATTATAAATGCAATTTACCATCTCAAAACAAATAAAAGCCCAGGTCCACACGGAATTTACCCAGAAACGTTAAAATTAATCAGCGAAGAAAATATCGAAATATTTGTCCTTTTATTCAATCGCATTTATGATACAGGTAAAATACCCCAAGATTGGCTGGAGTCAATATTCATCCCACTACCAAAAAAGCCAAACCCACAACACTGCAATGAGTTCCGTCTGATAAGCCTTATGAGTCATGCAGTAAAAGTCCTACTAAAAATCGTACATCATCGTATCTATAGAAAGTGCGAAACAATTATCGGAGACGATCAGTTTGGATTCAGAGCCGGCATGGGAACGAGAGAAGCCCTGTTCAGTTTACTAGTTCTCGCCCAAAAATGCTACGACCAACAGAAAGATATATTTATATGCTTTATAGACTTAAGACATGACCTAATATTAGAACGTTTGCAAGAAGTCGGTTTAGATGGAAAAGACATCAAATTCTTAAAAAACTTGTACTGGAACCAAAACGCCAGAGTTAGGATCGAAGGTTCCACATCCGCAGAAGTATAAATTAGGAGGGGAGTTAGACAAGGATGTGTTCTGTCGCCTCTGCTGTTTAACCTTTACTCCAAGTTTCTATTTAAAGAAGCATTGGAGGATACCAAGGATAGAGTCAATGTGAATGGCGTAAATATCAACAGTATCAGATACGCCGATCATACAGTGTTAATTGCGGATTCCGACTCAGGTCTACAACGACTCATTAACAAGACCAACTCCACCTGTGAGCAATTTATTAAAAAAAACTAAAGTGATGTCAATCCGAAAAAACCAAAACCTCAACCTTGCACAATAAATGGGCACATATTAGAACAGGTCAATAGATTTAAGTACCTGGGATATTGGATCGATAGCAGCCTAAATCCTGATCTAGAAATAAGATCGAGAATAGAACAGGCCAGAAAATCTTTTGAAAAAATAAAAAAAACTGCTTTGTGATTCTCGAATAAAACTCGAAATTCGACTACGTTTATCAAAATGCTACGTCTGGTCGACTCTTCTATATGCAGTTGAAACGTGGACCCTTAAAACATCAACCGTAAATAAACTGGAGGCCTTTGAAATGTGGATCTACCGAAGAATACTCAAAATCTCATGGACATCGCATACCTCAAACGAAGAAGTGCTGCATAGAATAGGCAAGGAAAGAGAACTTTTTAACACAGTAAAAGTTAGAAAAACATCATACCTAGGCCACATACTGAGAAATAATAAGTACCAATATGCCCAACTTATAGTGAAAGGAAAAATCGAGGGAAAGAGAGGCCTAGGAAGGAAAAGACTATCGTGGCTCAGAAACATCCGACAATGGACAGGGCTAAATTTTGAACAGCTAATAAGAACAGCTGAAGATAGAGAAGAGTTTAAAATTGTAGTAGCCAACCTCCATTGTGGAGAGGGCACTTTAAGAAGAAGAAGGTTGTTCTGTCTCTGCAACTGGTATCTTGGGCACTTTACATATCTTCTTCTGGGCTTCTTTATTTCCTTGAAGGCTAATGTGTGAAGGAACCCATAGGAATTGTACAGTATAGTTATTGTTTTGAATAGTAGCTAGTTATTTTTTTATTAGGAGAGCAATTGGATGTTTCGTGTACAGTTGGTTAATGGTATTGATGGCACTAAGGGAATTTGTAATTATAAGAGCATTGGATATATTACTGGAGTTAATATGAACGAGAGCTTGATAGATGGCGTATAGCTCGCCAGTATGTGTACAGCTTAAAGCTGGTAGTTTATACTCAAGTGTAATATTTGGAGTAATGAGAGCTGCCCCAACTCCAGTAGATGTTTTAGAAGCGTGTATATATGATAGGATTTAGAAAATTTTGTTAGTTTGTTGATGAAAGTATTCTTTATTAAGGAGTGGAGAATCGTTCTTTCTGAAGATATTAAAGAATGTAT